TCATCCCCACCCGGGTAAGCGGCTCTGGGGGCTCCTCTCCCTGGGAGGGGTTGGGGGAGCTCCTCTGCCCTGGGAACCCTGGCTATCTAGGCACTGGAGGGGTCGCACCTGTCTCAGGACTGGCCAGCAGGGTGTGTGGAGGCGGGGGCGAGGGGACTGTGGGTTAATACTGAGGTCACTTTTGTCTGCTAGCAAAGTCCCTCTTACTCTGGTTTTCCTGCAGGAGGCCCCTCCCCCCAACCCTTGTTAATTGCACGAGCAGTACCAGGGGATGCTGGTGTCTGTGCTGAACTCCTGCCCACGGCTGCTTGTTCCCCCCTGCAGCCAGCCAGCGCTGGGGGCTCTCCAGAGGTCATGATGAGGCTTGGTCCTTGCCCCTGTCCCAGAAGCAACATGGGGCTGTCAGAGGCTTGGGGGATCCATTTCTCAGCGCCCAGCATCCATCGAGGAGAATAACGGGGAACCCCTTGCACCTCCAACAAGTCCTTCTGGGTAGCTGGCCACACTAGGGCTTGCCAGCTCCAAAACCCTGGTCAATGTAGCCTTTCACTCCCTAAACCAGGAAGGGCAATGCATGGACTTCTGCGGAGAAGTCTGCAGAGGGGAGTTGTTTCAACCAGTTCAAATGCGGTGTTGATGGTTTTTAACCCTTTACTACCTGAACTGGAGCGCCTCTTTGGATGACCAGTATTAGTAAATTTCAAGTTTTAAGGACTGGATAGGCATCACTTGCAGGATAACCCTTAAAAAATGCATGAATATCCCAGGCTATACCACTAGATAGTAAATCTCACAGTAGGAGCCTCTCAAATAGAATGAATGCAGATACTAACTGGTCGTAAGAAATCCCTCAGTACTAGGATCTGCATCACCCACAGACTCAAACATGCCATTTTTTAACCTTATGAGTGTTACAGCTTAGATACCAAGTTTGTTGGTCCACGAAGACATTGTTTCAAGTTTCAGCCTATGTTCATAGGTTTTTGTCAGAAGCATCCTCCTCTCCTGATTTTACCACTGACCTGTTGTGTTGCTGCCTCCATGCCTCAGTTTTCCCCTCTGTAAAACTGGCATAACATGGGTGTGGTATGACATTTGATATTTGTGAAGAGCTTTGAGATCTTCTCATGCCAACCTCCACAGATGTGCACCATGATTATTAATCTTGGAGAAGGTGAGGTGAAAAGTGAAACATTGTGTCCGATGATTTAGGACAACTGCACATCAATTGTCCACTGTTGTATTTTGAGTTCATTGGAACTATGCCAGTTAAAACCTCAAGGATCAGGCCTTTTATCTTTTCTGTCTCTTTGTTAAAATCTGCCACACATGTTTGCACCAAATATTATGGTCTGGCATAGTTTGTAGGACCTTCTCTAATAATAATGTTACAACTAGTCATTTTTGATTGACCTACAATGCTTGGTATATTTTAAACTTCAGAAAAACCTCAGGCATATTTGTCAACAATAAATGCCATCCCTTCTGGTTTACCTGCCTTTGTTTCAGCCCTGCCTTTTGGTCAGCCTGAGGGTACGTCTACACTTGCTCCCTATCTCAAGATAGGGATGCAAATGTAGGCGACCGAAATTGCTAATGAAGTGGAGATTTAAATACCCCACGCTTCATTAGCATAATCTCACCTGTGCACTATTCCGATCGCCAGCTGATTCGAACCAGGAAGTGCGCTCCGGGCTGCATTAGTTCGAATCAAACCCTTTGGTTTAAACTAACATTACTCTTCTGGGCTGGATCTGGTGGCTTGGCAGGCCACATCTGGCCCGTGGAAGGTATTTTGCCGGAGCTACATGGCAAATATTGTAGGATCGATGCCAAAGCTTGCGATAGGGCTGTGATGTACAAGAGTAGCGATGTGTGATTTAATAAGAGTCTAGTGAGGTGTTTTGTACTTTTTGAGCATGAGGCATAAACATTGTGTCATTTTTCCAGGAGATTGCAGGATTGCTTAACAGGAATTTCCATCAATGATCACTTTCACAACTGCTCTTCAAGAGGCCAGAATGTTATGTTTTCTGCCCCCTGTTCAAAGAAGCAAAATCAACATTGTACAGTTGTTAGTGTTAATCATAACTATATTTTCGTAACCTTAGTGCTTGTTTTTCAGTTTTCTAAGCAGGGCTGTGCTTGAATTGACTGCGTCTATAAGAGTTAATTTATAAGCATTGTTGTCTTTTTGAACTTTAAGTAAATTATTGATTTCGTGTTCTAAATAACCTGTGTTTGTTCTCTATTGTGAGATTTGTTCAAGAGTAGTATTCTCCTTTAGCCTCTCAAAGCTGTTTCTATTTTTCACAGCGGCCAAATGCAATCACATTATGTAAATTCTGACACTTCGCTATTGCTGCAAGACCTCAGACCACGTTATAAAGACATAGATATTTTAATAGTAATAGAGAGGTAGCCGTGTTAGTCTGATCTTGCTAAAACAAAAGGAAAAACTATGTAGCACTTTAAAGACTAACAAGATGGTTTAATAGGTGATGAGCTGATGCGCTTTCGTTGGCCAGACCCACTTCCTTAGATCATATTCTGGAAGAGAATTGGCATGACCATATATACCAAAGGAATACAATGAAAAAAGTGAACACATTAGTAAACTGACAAATCAGATTTAGTACAGATGGTGGGGTGGGGGGAGGGAATATCTACTTGAGTCAATGAATGGCTAATCAGGGGTGATAAGTGGGAAGCTATCTTTGTAATAGTTAAGGTAATTAGCATCTTTGTTAAGGTCCATTCGTAAAGTGTCAAATTTAAGCATGAAAGAAAGTTCTGAAGTTTCTCTCTGTAATCTGGTGTTAAAGTCTCTTTGAAGTAAGATGCATGGAGTAAGGTCGTTAAGACTATGTCCAGGTAGGCTGAAATTAAAAGCAACTGGTTTTTCCTTGCGAAGATGTCTGATCTGTGGGCATTAATTCTTTAGCAAGGTGTCTGAGAAGTCTGTCCAATATACACAGCAAAAGGACACTGTTGGCATAAATTATGGCATAAATTATATTTCTGGATAAAGAGGAATATGTGTTCTTGATCATATAACTGACATGGTGAGGTCCAGTGATGGTGTCACCAGAGTAAATACGTGGACAAAGTTCAAAGTTGGCAACGGGGTTTGTTGCAAGGGAAAGTTCCAGTGTTGGTATTAATGTGGTATGTCCTGTGGTTGTTGGTAAGAATCTTCTTGAGGTTAGGTGATTGTCGATAGGAGACTATGGGTCTGTCCCTGAGAGCCTCTTGGAGTATAGTATCTTGTTCCAGTATAGCCGTGGTCCCCAGTGCGGTGCCTGCTTAGTCTGCATTAGGCACACCCTAATGCAGGGGTGGACTGGCCTGGCGGGACAGAGCCACTGGGCTCCACACCTCTGCACTGGAGCCGGTAGGGGTGCTGCTGGCACTTACGGCCCCGCCAGAAGACCCCACCGGGCTGAGGGACTCCGACGAGGAGGCCAGAAAGCTGACCCCTGCCAGGGAAGGTACTGAGCCGGGGGAAGGAAAAGCAGGCACGGCAGCGAGAGGCGCGAGCATGCGCCGTCAACCCGGGTGGAGCCAGGGCTGCACCGGGGGTGAAGTCATGTGTGGCGCAGCAGAGGGAGTGGTGCCACGTCGGTGTGGCATTGCAGCACCATTTTTTAAAACAGCCAGATTTGAAGTGGGGAAGGAGGAGGAAGGAGATGTGCCGAGTGGGGCGTGGGGGATCAGAGCCTGGCTAGAGGCGGGACGGTGGTGAGCGCACCTGGTGGGGTGGTCGTGTTGTGATGGGCCGGTGCTCTGAACGGCAAGCGGCCCAGGTCCAGGTCCGGCACGTGGTCTGGAGCCCGGGCTGCAGGGACTTCTGGGGCCCGATCGCAGCAGACTCCAGCCCTGCAAACTGGAAGGCAGAAGGGAAGGGAGGGGAAGAATAGGGGGAAAGGGTGGGAGAGGAAGGGGCTTGTGCTGATGGGAGGGGAGTAGGTCAGGAGAAGAAAGGGGAAGGCACCAAGGGACAGGGTGGAGGAGATTCAAATGCCGGGGGTGGAGGGGGTGAGCAAGTGGAGACAATGAGAAAAAGGGCAGGAGGGGAGGTGTCAGTGGGAGGGGGGACAGGGTGATGCTGGGAGAGGAGAGGCGTACAGATAGTTCGGAATAGGAAGCCTAATCCGAACTACCTAGTCCGTGCCGCGTGTAGCTGCGGGCACGGAGTTCGGACTAGCCGGCATTTAAAAATGGCGGCGCCCGGCAACATGCAAATGAAGCTCGGGAAATTCAAATCCCGGGCTTCATTTGCAAGTTCGTATGACTACATTAACCACCCTAGTTCGAACTAGGGTGGTAGTGTAGACATACCCTAATATAGTGCCCCTCCTCAGAAGAAAGATGACACCAAGATTTTCAAGTGTTTGCAAGTGATTTGGGGTACCTCAGTTGTCAAGAGTTTGAGACACCTTAAAGATACTTGATGTTCAGAAAGCCATTATCTGTCCTGTGAAAAGCAGTGTCTTCAGATGAGAACCTACAAGTGGAGCCATCCAAAATCATGAATTGCTTCTAAACAGCTTGGCTACTAGGCATGGAATCTCCTGCTTGAATCAAATGCCAATTGGCATGTGAACATTTAGGTTAGCCATTTCTCTGGGAATTCTGGTTTTCCCGCATGCTACACTTTAGCCTGCAGCCTTTGTGCATTTACAATGCCCCTAGATTTGCCTATGCATTGTTTTCCAGGCGAGGCTTTAAGCTGTGACAGGAATGTTCACTTAGGCTAGTTTCTGAGTAACTGGTTGAGCTGTAAAGATCAAATGTCTCTTTTAGGATTTGGCTTCTTGTAGAGATGGGCTGGATCCAGTTAAGTCCAATGGAGAGTTGCAGGTATTTAATACCACTGAAGTCTGTGGCAAAAATTGACTGACTTCAATGTGGCCAGGATGCCATCTCTGAAGAGTATATTTTTGCCTTTAAAATTTATCAGATTACACCAGCTGTGTATGAAAGAATAGTTTCTTGGAGAATAAAATAACTCTCTGGTAGGAGTGTTGTTCCTTCCCTTCCCCTAAGGAACTAGAGAACTGCCATTTATATATCCTGGGATACAGAGGGAGACCCATTGCATTCATCCATACGCTCGATTCCCTGTGCTTAAACCTTTGTTGTATTCCAGGAGGCCAAGTGTGCCTATGTTATCATCCTCATGGCCGTTTACTGGTGCACAGAAGTCATCCCTTTGGCTGTCACATCTCTCCTGCCTGCTATATTGTTTCCTATGTTTGGAATTTTGGAGTCTAAAAAGGTAAGAACTGATTCTAGGTCAGCTTGGATTTAAGCATAAACGTCAGAGGCCCAGATTAGACAAGCATACTCCAATGCACCGGTGTGTCTGTGCCTATCACATGTGATGTGTGGATTTTCATCGTGACAGTAACACTGAATAGAATCCCCTGGGTGCTTTACACTGCTGACCCTAAGTTCTGGTGCAGCTAAGAATCTGGTTGGGTTTCATCTCTGCCCTGGTTTTACCAACAAGATTTGAACTGGAGTGAGACTTTAAAGGTCAAATCCTGGCAGCAAGTTTGTAAAATGACATTCTAGCTGTTGTATGCTGTGCTGCTGTGTCGGTCCCAGGATATTAGAGAAACAAGGTGGATGAGGTAATCTCTTTTATTGGACAACTTCTGTGTGACTTGAAAGCTTGTCTCGCTCACTAACAGAAGTTGGTCCAATAAAAGAGATTGCCTCACGCTCCTTATTATTCTACCTATCAACATTTCCCCATCAATATATACTGGATGTAGGATTCTTGTTCACTTTCTAGTCTTCATGGTCATGCAGTGTTGCTGTGTGCTGTTAAATGGCCACTGTGCTGGACCCTAGAGGTGGTTGCACCATGTGGTGAGTGAATGGATTCCTCTGTCTGTAGTTTGTAAAAGTGCTTTGGGATCTGCTGAGATGAAATGTACCACATACATCTGATGGCTTTCTGCAAATCTCTCTCTATTGTGACAGGGTTAGAACAGAAGGCTATAAAAAGTAGTCCTATTGGATTCTGGGAGGTGACTAAGGGACCTGCTCCCAGCCTATGGGGAGTGATATCTAAAGGCTATCAGGACCCACAGAGCCCAGAACGCCAATGATTACTGAGGACAAATAAGGGAAAACAGGGAGGGAAGAATATCACCTTCCCAAACTTCTTAAAAGCTGCCACCACGGCTGCGGACCCTACTACAAGTGCCAACGCCTTCACGTAGGTCTCCACATGGGGCAAGGCTGATACCAGGGCAATGGACTCCATGCCTCCTGGTCAGGGTGGGAAAGGGGCTGCAGCCGTCAGAGACAGAATTCCGGGAGGTGGCCTGAGTGGATTATGAGGCAGCAGGTGGGGGCATGGTGGCTACCTGGGCATACACTCTGAGGGATGGGACACCGTCGCCCCTGGAGCTGGTGGAGGGAAAAGGGGAGTGGAAAAGAGGGGAAATCTCGGCCAGCACCGGGGCCGTAGCAGGGGGTGAGCCACCTCTGCAGGGGTATGTCTACACTACAATGTTAGTTCGAACTACCGGACTTTAGTTCGAACTAACATTCATAGCCGCTACACTAGCGCTCCGCTAGTTCGAATTTAAATCGAACTAGCGGAGCGCTTAGTTCGAACTAGGAAAACCTCATTGTACAAGGACTAAGCCTAGTTCGAACTTACTAGTTCGAATTAAGGGCTGTGTAGACCCTTAATTCGAACTAGTGGGAGGCTAGCCCTCCCCAGCTTTCCCTGGTGGCCACTCTGGCCAACACCAGGGAAACTCTATTGCCCCCCTCCCGGCCCCGAAGCCCTTAAAGGGGCACGGGCTGGCTACGGTGCCCGTGCCAGGTGCAAGCCTGCTAGCACCCAGCCAGCAGACCCTGCACCTGGAACGGCACGAACCAGCCACCCGCTGCCACCCCTCTCCCCAGGCCCAGGCTGGCGGCTCCCGGGAGCTTGCCCAGGACCGCAAGAAGTGGGCACCTTCCTGGGCTAGTGCAGACATAATGGACCTTGTCCATGATCTCTGCACTAGGTTCAGGAAAGTGGCCGTCTAGGGCAGGAGGGCTGCCAGCCTGGCCACCCAGGACCAGGTGTGCATGAAAATCAAGGGGGTCCACTGAGACCCCCGACCCTGAGCCCTGAGCTTACAATGGCCGTACTGGGTCAGACCAAAGGTCCATCTAGCCCAGTAGCCTGTCTGCCAACAGCGGCCAACCCTAGGGACCCTGGAGGGGATGGACCGAAGACAGTGATCAAGCCATTTGTCTCGTGCCATCCCTCTCCAGCCTTCCACAAACTTTGGGCAGGGACACCACTCCTACCCTCTGGCTAATAGGACTCCATGGACCCAACCTCCATGACTTGATCTCACTTCCCTTTAAACTCTGTTCTAGTTGTAGCCTTCACAGCCTCCTGCAGCAAGGAGTTCCACAGGTTAACTATTTGCTTTGGGAAGAAGAACAACTTTCTCTTACTAGTTTCAAGCCTGCTACCCATTCCTTTCCTTTGGTGTCCTCTAGTCCTTCTTTATGGGAACTCAGGAAGAACTTTTCTGAATGCACCCTCTCCACCCAACCCCTGCTTTTAGAGACCTCTATCCTGTCCCCTCTCCGTCTCCTCTTTTCTAAGCTGAACAGTCCCAGTCTCTGTAGCCTCTCTTCATCTGGGACCTGTTCCCAACCCCTGATCATGTTAGTTGCCCTCCCCTCTCCCAGCCTTTCTCTTCCCCTCTCCCACCTCCTTTTCCCAGTCTCCCCCAGTTTTTTTCAATAAAGACAGAGTCAATGTTGGAAGAAACGTTATCTTTATTTTGTACATCAATAAGAAGGGGGGCTAGGGAAGGGTAAGTGGAAGGAGGTGAGGGAGGAATGGGGTATGAGCCCCCGATGGGGAGGACTGGGCTGGCTCTGCGGGCTTCTGGGGGTGGAAGCTCTCCTGCAGCCCCCCAATTACTCCCTCTCCCCAGATGGCAGCCTGCGGCAAGTGCAGCCGGGCTGATGGCCGAGTGGTGTGATGTGCCCAGTGTGGGCACTCAGGGCACTCCAAGCCAGAACTTCTTTGCAAGCGGGGCACCCCTTAGAACTGTGTGTCCGGGGTGGGGGTCGGGACCCTTTAAGCGCAGCCCTCGGCTAGCCTGAGACAGCATCTCCATGCTCTAAGTCCTCCTCTTATGCCCTGCCGGCACTGCTTCCGGCCCTCCTTAAGCCCTGTTCAGAGTCCACTCAATGTGGACTTGCCTGTTCGAATTAGCAAAACGCTAATTCGAACTAGTTTTTAGTTCTAGACGCGTTAGTTCGAATTAGCTTAGTTCGAATTAACTAATTCGAACTAAGTTAGTTCGAACTAACTCTGTAGTGTAGACATACACTAAGGTTTAGCCCTCCAGGCAGGGCTCTTGTCCCTCTTGATCCCCTGGCCTTTCCTGCCCTTTAGGGGGGCCTTCTTAATGGTGACAGTGGTGGCAGGAGATACTGCAGCAGCAGCGGTGCGGGTCCTGGAATCCCCATCCATGCCCACCACCTCCACTGTATGAGCGGGTAAACTGGCAGCCTCAGAGGGGGCAGCATTTGCAGAGGTAGATGTGAGGCCGGGAGGGGAAGGGGCAGCAGTGGCATCACACGACAGTCCCTCCATTGTGTCCAGGGGCAGGGAGGGAACGACAGGAACAAACAAGTGGGAGAGGACAATAGTGCCAGGGGAGGGAGCGAGGGGAAGAGGAAGGTTCATTACTCCCTGCTGCGAGGCTGGAAGTGGGGTGGGAGGGCAGTGATACAGGAAGGAGAAACGGGGATAAAGGAACAAGAGGTCCGACTCCTAGCACAGGATGGCAAGACCGGCTCCTCTGGCTGCACTGGAGAGATGAGGGGGGAGATTATATTAACAACATTATGGGGGAAGTGAAACTCTGTGCGGGGAGGGTAACTAAGAAAAGAAGGGAGGTCAGGCACTAAACAGAAGAAAATGGGAGCAGGGACACACAGGAAAAACGAGGGAGGCAGTGGAGAGGGAGGGCAGGCAGCAAGAGAGGGCCTGCTATGGAAAAGGGGGAGAGCACAGTGGGACACTGCTGGTGGGGGGAGAGGACAAGTGTGCCCATGGGCACCTGAGTGGCAACCACCCAGCAACTGCTGCAGGGCCCAGCAAAGCAAAAGGAGAGGGGGGTGAGCAAGCAGTGGGGCCAAGAATGGGGAAAAGGCCCCTGCAACAACTGAGGCTAGAGAGGGAACAGCAGTGGTGGCGGCAGGAGTAGCAGAAATGCAGGGGGTGGAACCAGAGGGCGGTGATCCCCCTGCCACCCCCAGTGCCCCACAAGAGCTGCACCATCCAGCCTAGTTCAGTTAGGACACCTGGGGGTAATTAAGAAAACCAGTTCAGACTGGCTATAGAAAGAAGCTTACCTGCAGTTGTAGGAGGAGAGCACCGCTGGGAGTAGGAGGAAAGGAGACAACAACTAGAAGGAAGAACCAGAGAGAAGGAAGGTGCTGGGGAAGGTGTGGGGAAATAGCCCAGGGGTCTTGGAGCTGTTTATAGCAGGTGCTGGGGATTGACACGAGCAGCTACTATCACGGGGCCCTGGGCTGGACCCCAGAGTAGAGGGTGGGCCTGGGTTCCCCCTAACACCCACCTCCCCATTTCCACTCGGGGAAAAGGACTGTGGAGTTTATTGTCCGTTTTACTATACACGAGTCAATGATGAAAAGAGCTCAATTGAAACGGTGGGCTGCTGTGAGCCTCTGAGGCTAGCAAATCCACCAGGAAGCGCAGGACCTGCTGAGTTTTCCTAGGAGCTTTGTCACACTATATATAAAAAAATGTTTCCTGTGGGACAAGAGAATGACATCATCATGTCATCTGCCTCCGCATTCTGCCACCTGCCTCCACCTCTGTCCTCAGCTGCTTGCTGTGACTAGCCTCAGCACCGCCCCTCCAGCCCAGGCTGCTTCATCTCTGGCTCTTGTGTCACACCCCGGGGGGGCTGCGCAGCCAGGGAGGAGCTGCTGCTGGGGCTGGGTCCCCTCTGCCATCCAAGCCAGACTGTGCCCTGAGCTGCCCCACGTTCCTAATTCACTTTTTTCACACCAGTCATGATTGTATAGACCTCTATCATATCCCCCAGTCCGTCTCCTCTTTTCTAAGATGAAAAGTCCAAGTCTTTTTAATCTCTCTTCATATGGGACTCGTTCCAAACCCCTCATCATTTCTGCTGCCCTTTTCTGAGCCTTTTCCAATGTCAATATATCTTTTTTGAGATGAGGTGACCACATCTGTACGTAGTATTCAAGATGTGAGTGTATCGTGGTTTATATAGAGGCAATAAAATATTCTTATTCTTTGTCCCTTTTTTAATTATTCCTAACATTCTGTTTGCTTTTTTGATGGCCGCTATACACTGAGTGGATGTTTTCAGAGAACTATCCACAATGACTCCAAGATCTCTCTCTTGAGTAGTTGTAGCTAAATTAGTCCCCATCATATCGGATGTATAGCTGGGATTACTTTACATTTATCAACATTAAATTTCATTTGCCATTTGGTTGCCCAATCACTTAGTTTGGTGAGATCTTTTTGAAGCTCTTCACGATCTGCTTTGGTCTTAACTATCTTGAGCAGTTGGTATCATCTGCAAATTTGGCAACCTCGCTGTTTACCTCTTTCTCGAGATCATTTATAAATAAGTTGAATAGGATTAGTCCTAGGACAGACTCTTAGGGGACCCCACTAGTTACATCTCTCCACGCTGAAAACTTACCATTTATTCTTACTCTTTGTTTCCTGTCTTTTAACCAGTTATTAATCCTCAAGAGCCCCTTCCCTCTCATCCCATGACAACTTACTTTACTTAAGATCCTTTGGTGAGGGACCTTGTCAAAGGCTTTCTGGAAGTCTAAGTACACTATATCCACTGGATCCCCCTTGTCCACATATTTGTTGACCCCATCAAAGAACTCATGTTGTTTACAGTAGACTTCCGATAATCCGGCACCTTTGGGACCTAGGTGGTGCTGGATTATCGGATATACCCGAGTATCAGGAGGTACTGCCTACTCCCAAACCAATCCCCCACCCCCAACCTTATGCTCGGGTCCCGGAGCCACCGGTACAGACACATGTCTCTCTCCAGACACTGGGACCGGCTTTTCAATCAGCTGGCCAGGATGCCATGAGTAAACCCAATCCCCCTCCCCTTCCCCAGAGCCAAACATTTCTTCTCTCTGCTGTAACCCACATGAGAGCGGCTGACCTGAATGTTCCGAGTTCCAAACTGGTTCCGTCAGGAGCGCTTGCCATTTTGATGCTGGACTATCGGGAGTGCTAGACAATTGGGTGCCGGACTATTGGAGTTTAATTGTAGTAAGGAATGATTTCCCTTTACAGAAACCATGTTGACTCTCCCCCCACAAATTATGCTAATCTATGTGTCTGACAATTTTATTCTTTACTATAGTTTTAACTAATTTGCTCTGTACTGATGTTAGACTGGTCAATAATTATCAAGATCACTTCTAGAGTCCCTTTTAAATATTGGTGTCATGCTAGCTATCTTCCAGTCATTAGGGACAGAAGCTGATTTAAAGGATAGGTTACAAACCACAGTTCCTCTCATTGCAGGTGTGTATGCAGTACTTGAAGGACACCAACATGCTGTTTGTTGGGGGGCTGATTGTGGCAGTAGCCGTGGAACACTGGAATTTGCACAGACGCATTGCACTGAGGGTCCTGCTGATTGTCGGAGTGAAGCCCCCACGGTGAGTGGCCCTGTTAAACCTGCCATCCTATCAATCTGTGATCAGGAACAGCCAAGCTTAGCAGAAGCTTCTTCAGATGCCAGGAGAAATGGGAAAGAGCAGGAGACCTGAGCTGCACAGCACACAGCCTACAAAAGCCTCCATAGTTTTGCTTGCTCTACAAAGGGCTTCCAGCGGTTGTGTACACCCACAGGAAGTGTTTGGAAGGCCAGAAAGGCTGCAAGGGAAGATGCTCATCCTTCAGCTATTTGAAGTCAGCGGGAGTCTTTCTGTAGAATTATGGGGAGCTGGATTCTGTTTTGTTCTAATCTAATTACAGGGGAGTGTGTGGGGGCCCCAGCTCCATGCTGTTGGAAGGGATGGGGCCTCGGGTGGAAGGGGTGGGGCTGGGACGGTCCAGGTGTTTTCCCACCTGACCTGCCCCGGGCCCTAACACGGGTAGTCAAGTCCCAGTGGGTGCAGGTGATGTAGGGCTCTAGAACAGACCTTGTAAGTGTGAGGCTGAATGCCCTGAGTTCTGGCTCAAATCCTTCCTACCTCCCACCTGCGTGGTTCTTAAGTCCCTCAGAATTGTTGTGTGGGGAGGCAGGCAATGGACACATCACCTAAGGGGACTGTGCCCAAGCTGTAGGCTGGGGAGCTTCCTACCAGGGCACCACCTTCTTTACCCGCACAGAGACTGGATGACAAGGGCAAAGGCCCCAGAGGGGGCAAGGAGATGCCCAGTGGGACCAGAGCTATCTGGACTGCACGGTGCGGGGTGACAGCTGTTGATCCACCTGCCACCCCCAGTGCCCCACAAGAGCTGCACCATCCAGCCTAGTTCAGTTAGGACACCTGGGGGTAATTAAGAAAACCAGTTCAGACTGGCTATAGAAAGAAGCTTACCTGCAGTTGTAGGAGGAGAGCACCGCTGGGAGTAGGAGGAAAGGAGACAACAACTAGAAGGAAGAACCAGAGAGAAGGAAGGTGCTGGGGAAGGTGTGGGGAAATAGCCCAGGGGTCTTGGAGCTGTTTATAGCAGGTGCTGGGGATTGACACGAGCAGCTACTATCACGGGGCCCTGGGCTGGACCCCAGAGTAGAGGGTGGGCCTGGGTTCCCCCTAACACCCACCTCCCCATTTCCACTCGGGGAAAAGGACTGTGGAGTTTATTGTCCGTTTTACTATACACGAGTCAATGATGAAAAGAGCTCAATTGAAACGGTGGGCTGCTGTGAGCCTCTGAGGCTAGCAAATCCACCAGGAAGTGCAGGACCTGCTGAGTTTTCCTAGGAGCTTTGTCACACTATATATAAAAAAATGTTTCCTGTGGGACAAGAGAATGACATCATCATGTCATCTGCCTCCGCATTCTGCCACCTGCCTCCACCTCTGTCCTCAGCTGCTTGCTGTGACTAGCCTCAGCACCGCCCCTCCAGCCCAGGCTGCTTCATCTCTGGCTCTTGTGTCACACCCCGGGGGGGCTGCGCAGCCAGGGAGGAGCTGCTGCTGGGGCTGGGTCCCCTCTGCCATCCAAGCCAGACTGTGCCCTGAGCTGCCCCACGTTCCTAATTCACTTTTTTCACACCAGTCATGATTGTATAGACCTCTATCATATCCCCCAGTCCGTCTCCTCTTTTCTAAGATGAAAAGTCCAAGTCTTTTTAATCTCTCTTCATATGGGACTCGTTCCAAACCCCTCATCATTTCTGCTGCCCTTTTCTGAGCCTTTTCCAATGTCAATATATCTTTTTTGAGATGAGGTGACCACATCTGTACGTAGTATTCAAGATGTGAGTGTATCGTGGTTTATATAGAGGCAATAAAATATTCTTATTCTTTGTCCCTTTTTTAATTATTCCTAACATTCTGTTTGCTTTTTTGATGGCCGCTATACACTGAGTGGATGTTTTCAGAGAACTATCCACAATGACTCCAAGATCTCTCTCTTGAGTAGTTGTAGCTAAATTAGTCCCCATCATATCGGATGTATAGCTGGGATTACTTTACATTTATCAACATTAAATTTCATTTGCCATTTGGTTGCCCAATCACTTAGTTTGGTGAGATCTTTTTGAAGCTCTTCACGATCTGCTTTGGTCTTAACTATCTTGAGCAGTTGGTATCATCTGCAAATTTGGCAACCTCGCTGTTTACCTCTTTCTCGAGATCATTTATAAATAAGTTGAATAGGATTAGTCCTAGGACAGACTCTTAGGGGACCCCACTAGTTACATCTCTCCACGCTGAAAACTTACCATTTATTCTTACTCTTTGTTTCCTGTCTTTTAACCAGTTATTAATCCTCAAGAGCCCCTTCCCTCTCATCCCATGACAACTTACTTTACTTAAGATCCTTTGGTGAGGGACCTTGTCAAAGGCTTTCTGGAAGTCTAAGTACACTATATCCACTGGATCCCCCTTGTCCACATATTTGTTGACCCCATCAAAGAACTCATGTTGTTTACAGTAGACTTCCGATAATCCGGCACCTTTGGGACCTAGGTGGTGCTGGATTATCGGATATACCCGAGTATCAGGAGGTACTGCCTACTCCCAAACCAATCCCCCACCCCCAACCTTATGCTCGGGTCCCGGAGCCACCGGTACAGACACATGTCTCTCTCCAGACACTGGGACCGGCTTTTCAATCAGCTGGCCAGGATGCCATGAGTAAACCCAATCCCCCTCCCCTTCCCCAGAGCCAAACATTTCTTCTCTCTGCTGTAACCCACATGAGAGCGGCTGACCTGAATGTTCCGAGTTCCAAACTGGTTCCGTCAGGAGCGCTTGCCATTTTGATGCTGGACTATCGGGAGTGCTAGACAATTGGGTGCCGGACTATTGGAGTTTAATTGTAGTAAGGAATGATTTCCCTTTACAGAAACCATGTTGACTCTCCCCCCACAAATTATGCTAATCTATGTGTCTGACAATTTTATTCTTTACTATAGTTTTAACTAATTTGCTCTGTACTGATGTTAGACTGGTCAATAATTATCAAGATCACTTCTAGAGTCCCTTTTAAATATTGGTGTCATGCTAGCTATCTTCCAGTCATTAGGGACAGAAGCTGATTTAAAGGATAGGTTACAAACCACAGTTCCTCTCATTGCAGGTGTGTATGCAGTACTTGAAGGACACCAACATGCTGTTTGTTGGGGGGCTGATTGTGGCAATAGCCGTGGAACACAGGAATTTGCACAGACGCATTGCACTGAGGGTCCTGCTGATTGTCGGAGTGAAGCCCCCACGGTGAGTGGCCCTGTTAAACCTGCCATCCTATCAATCTGTGATCAGGAACAGCCAAGCTTAGCAGAAGCTTCTTCAGATGCCAGGAGAAATGGGAAAGAGCAGGAGACCTGAGCTGTACAGCACACAGCCTACAAAAGCCTCCATAGTTTTGCTTGCTCTACAAAGGGCTTCCAGCGGTTGTGTACACCCACAGGAAGTGTTTGGAAGGCCAGAAAGGCTGCAAGGGAAGATGCTCATCCTTCAGCTATTTGAAGTCAGCGGGAGTCTTTCTGTAGAATTATGGGGAGCTGGATTCTGTTTTGTTCTAATCTAATTACAGGGGAGTGTGTGGGGGCCCCAGCTCCATGCTGTTGGAAGGGATGGGGCCTCGGGTGGAAGGGGTGGGGCTGGGACGGTCCAGGTGTTTTCCCACCTGACCTGCCCCGGGCCCTAACACGGGTAGTCAAGTCCCAGTGGGTGCAGGTGATGTAGGGCTCTAGAACAGACCTTGTAAGTGTGAGGCTGAATGCCCTGAGTTCTGGCTCAAATCCTTCCTACCTCCCACCTGCGTGGTTCTTAAGTCCCTCAGAATTGTTGTGTGGGGAGGCAGGCAATGGACACATCACCTAAGGGGACTGTGCCCAAGCTGTAGGCTGGGGAGCTTCCTACCAGGGCACCACCTTCTTTACCCGCACAGAGACTGGATGACAAGGGCAAAGGCCCCAGAGGGGGCAAGGAGATGCCCAGTGGGACCAGAGCTATCTGGACTGCACGGTGCGGGGTAGTAGCCATAAAGTGGCTGTGGCAGTGCGGAGGGGAGGGGTTTACTCCCCTGCTCCCAGCAGAGACCATCTCTGCAAATCCCCTGTGCTCAGGCCCCAGGAACCAGTGTACCTGTGATGCTGAGAGCCCTGATGCCTTTTTCATGGATGCCAAAAGCCTGCATCCTGTTCCAGTTGTTAGCAAAGAGAAGACAGAAATGGTGCCCGTTCTGTGGTTATTAATTCCAGTGCTGATGTTAATAAGTGGGAGGCCAACACCACAGCTGTTTCCAGGCCCATCAAAATGGGAGAGCAAAGGGGACAGTTGCCCCCATAACTAGTGATTCAAAGGGGCCCACACCTCCTGGCCACTGCTACTGCTTCTGTTACTCGGGCAGTGGCCAGAGCCCAGAGTCCTATGAATCAGACTGGAGTGCTGTGCTCCATGTGGCTCTGAAGGCTGGGGAGGGCCTGCCAGGATTTGTGTGGTGCAGACATCTGGCTGCCCTGCCTCAGCTTCCTCTGCCTGAATTCCCGTCTCCTCTGTCTGAGGGCCCTCCCCCATGGGAGCATGAAGCTGCCCCACCCCCCTTCTTCAGGGGCCTGCACACATGGTTCCGTATTAGCCAGGATTCACAGCCCGTGTCAGGTTCACAATATCAGAGAGCGCAATTTTCCAGCTCTCCAGCAGCAATCAGAGGAGAGGAAGGCAACCTCACTTGTGGTTTGCTGTTATAAAGTGGATTTTGTATGCTGGCTAAATGATAGGTGCTTACAACTAGGGCAGTGGTCACCAACCAGTAGATCAGGATCTACTAGTTGATCTTGGAGCCTTTGACAGGTGATCCTGAGAGGTTTGTCTGGGAAGCTATCAAGTGCTGGCACTTCATCTACCCCTCTCAGCACTGCTGTGCTGTCCCTGCCCTCACCTCTGGGAGCCTCCTGCTTGCTGTGCAGAGCATGGGAAGAAGAGGAAGGGGGGTGCTAATGTCAGGGTGCCACTCCCTCCACTCGGTACTTCATCTCCACAGAGAAGAGGTGAACAGGGTTGAAGAGAGTTTGCTGGTGGCTTTTGGGAGTGGTGCAGGGCCAGAGTAGGGGTGAGTCTGCCTTAGCCCTCTGCTGCACCCGCACCCCAACCCCCTGCCCTATCCCTGAGTCCCCCTGCACCCAAATTCCCTCCCAGAACCTGAATCCTAACCACCACCCCCTGCTGCTCAACTACCTTAGCTCAGAATCCCTCCCACCCTCCAAATCCTTTAGCCCAAGATCAGAGTCCATATTCCCCTCCCCCTCACCCCAGCCTTCTGCCCTCAGCCTGATAAAAATGAGTGACGAGGAGGAGGGAGGAAGGATGGCGCAAGCAGGGGCAGGGTCTTGGAGAAGGAGTGCGAAGGAAGCAGGACAAGCGTGTTTGGGTTTGAGGTAGATCCTGGATTGCAGCTTAATTCAAAAAGTGATCTCCTGCTTAAAAAGGCTGGAGACCACTGAACTAGGGCTTACATGATAGAGAAGTGACTCACAGGGAGACGCATGAGGCTAACTGTATTGGTCTGACTCAAATGAGAGCAATGCGCCCACTAAAAATTGAACAAGGGTTTCCTTTCCTGGAGCAGGCCGTGCATCCAGGGTGGGGCCGGCTGTACTGGGTAGCCTGGAATAAGGTTTCGCTGACTGGAAATTCCAGCAGGAGTTTCACAGTTATTTTTCCTTCCTGCTGTCTGCTTCTCTCCATGCAGCCTGATGCTGGGCTTTATGGGCGTCACCGCCTTCTTGTCTATGTGGATAAGCAACACGGCCACGACCGCCATGATGGTCCCTATCGTCCAGGCTGTCTTGGATCAGATGAACAGCACAGAGCAGAACCTGGTGATTATGGACCCACAGATGGGGCAAGTGAATTCAGCGCCTGAGCTAGAGGAGAGGCAGGGTAAGGGGCCATCCAACAGGCCCAGAGTCTGTTTCCATTGTTGTAGCAAACCGTGATCTGAACCAGAGCCCAGCCCACTGACTTCAGTGAAAAGACGTGTACTGACATTATTGGGCTTTGGCACAGGCCCTGAGAACAGGAGTGCTATTACCCAGAAAGGAATCCAGGAAATATAGTAAACTCAGATTTTCAAAAATGGCCACATGTTCTGGGTGCCTGCTAGCTGTGGGTGCTCTGGTCTTAATTTTCAACTGTGCCAGACATCCACAGCTGCCCTTGAGCTTGGTGGTCAGAGCCGTTGAAACCGATCGGTAACATTTTCAAAAGCACCCAACTGTCTTAAGGAACCTGGTGTCAATGAGATTTTGACTCCTAAAGAACTGAGGCATGACTGAACATTTCCCCGCTCTCTTTTTGTTTTGTCCTTGCTGTTCAAGCAAGCTGAGGGCAGGCAGTGGGGAAGCAATGAAATACTGAAAAACTGATTGAATATGGACTGAGAAGGAGCTGCAGGGTCTCAGTGAAGCTGAGAGCTGGGACGTGTCCTCCCATGAAATGTACTCACCCTCGTGGGGATTCTTTGCCTCTCCACGTTTGACAGTCTCTTTCTATGTACTTTGGGATTTTCGGAGACCCTTATCCTGCGATGAGCAGGATTTTTTCTGCATCCTTATTGAGTTCTAGTGTCTTGGCAGCCAGCCTGGCGGAGGCTGGGAACTCCGGGCCCCTTTGAAATGATGCAGGAATGTAGCGCCACTATTCTGAGGGTGGACGGGGAAGGCCTAGGGACATGCTGTGGGTGGTGCTAAGGGCTGAATGTCTTTCGCCACACCCCTTCCACCTAAGATGCTGCTTCCCCTGGGAGCCTGGAGCCAGGCCCACCCACACCTTGCCCCTAGGCTTGGTGTGGCCTGTGCTTGGCAGAGCCTAATGTACATTTCAGGGGAGGAAGGACAGTAGGGAACTACTGGAACTCAAGGGACCTGAATTAAATTAATCAGAAATGGACTGAATCCCAGATTCTCTGGGTGACCTCACTTAATCTCTTCCCTGTCTCTGTTCCTTATCTGTAACTTGGCGCTGATACATCCTAGGGATGTAAGCGACTAGTCAAGTGAATACTCAACTACTCGCTCCCCTGCCCCACCGCCCACAGCCAATGTATCGGAGGCAGCAAGAAGGGGGGAAACAGGAGCTGTTGCTGGAGGCGGCTTCCTCCATCACCATCTCCGCCATGCGGGGGGGCGGGGATTGGAGCTGGGGAGGCAGCGCTGCAGTGGTCCCAGGGGCTGCTTGAGCTGGGACTGTTCAGGGAGTAGTACTGTCAGGGCTTAGGAGGACATTATCAGCATTGATTGGCATTCAGTACAATAAGAGGCATCAAGAAACTGAGGCACCAAGAGCGCTGCCTGCTGGCCCACCAATGGGAGGAGAGGAGGACAGTTGCCATGGGGTCTGGTGATTCAAAAGGACCCAGCGCTTGTGGCAGTGGCCAAAGCCTTGGGCCATTTAACTTGCTGCTGGAGCCCTGCGTGGCGCACTCCAGGCACTTCTCAGGGCTGGCTGGGGGGAGGAGCGCCAGCGCAGTGTACTCTGTGTGGCAGTGAGGACCAGCTGGCTTGAGTCCCATTCTTTCCTCCTGAAACCCCACCCCATTTTGTAGCATAGATCCCACATCCACCCCCACCTTGCCCAGAGATTTGCCAAGTCTCTCAGCCTTCCTGGCTGCCTCTGGGCTAAGCCTTGCAACTCCCTTTCTTTTCCGAAGGTAAGTTTCTATTTGTTGTTTCCAGTCCTTGGTAACGGACACATTCGTGATGAGCCCAAAGCTCCTGGTGCCGGGGAATTTAATAAGCACATCATGAAGGGGATGACACTGTGTGTGTGCTATGCTGCTAGTATTGGAGGAACCGCGACGCTCACAGGAACGGGGCCAAACCTGGTTTTTAAAGGCCAGATGGACCAGTAAGTTCTTGCTTTTTCTCCTTAATGCTCTCATGCTGCATTTGGACCAGCACACCTGGAAGTGTGAGTTGGTCGTCACTGCTGTGGGTTTCAGGAGCTGTCACCTGTGTGCGTGACATAATGAATAATGTATATGCTGTGTTTTGCCTCAAAAGCTTTTATTTCATCACAAGTGAGTAGTTGGTCCAGTCTGTCATTGTAGCCCATTGGGGGTATGTTTACACTGCAATGTAAACCCAGGTCTGTGAGATCTGGGCTGTTGTGTGTCAGCCTGCACTGGGCTTGCAATTCCTGTGCCCAGGTCACAGAGCTGTGCTAATGCATCCAGGCTACTCTATGCCAACTTTCCCCCTTGCTCTGCAGTTTGAGCTGTGTCCACATTGTGAAATAACAGAGTTTGTACCCCAGTTACAAGAGGACTGGGGGTCTAATCTCCCCCAGGACCTTGGATGTAGGACCTGATTCCTGAGTGCTTGCTGACTCAACTCAGACTGATTTATGTGTGGATGGAAGAGGGACGTGGGCTGAGTTAAAGACTAGATTTAATGCACCATTTAGACAGTTATGGAATCCACGTTGCTGACTCTGTGGGTGCTTCAGGGCTGGAGCACATACAAGGAAAAATGAGTGGGTGCTCAGTACCCACTGGCAGCCAAACTCCCCTTCCTCCATTGCCCACTGGTGGCCCAGCTGACGAACTCCTCCCCCACCCTCCCAGCACTTCCAGAGCATTATGAACAGCTGATTCACAGCAGGAAGCTCCAGGAGGGAGAGGGCAGAACGGGACACAATGAGTTCAGGGGAAGAGGCGGGGTAGAACAGGGTAGAGGTTTGGGGAAGGGATTAAATGGGGGTGGGGCCAAGGTTGGGGGAAGTGGTGGAGTAGAGGTCGGGACTGGGGCAGGAGAAGTTGAACACCTCCCAGCTAGAGGTAAAGTCAGCACCTATGTTAGGAGTGGTTTCCTGTAGACTGCAGAGAATAGATAGGTCACATGGTGCTGGTTCCTCCTGTTTTATTTCCATCTGGAATGGAATAAATTAGGGGAAAATGCAATGACAAACAGGACACTGTGATTAACTCTGCATAATGGACAGACGTAATAAAGACCACAAAAAATGCAGTACAGGTACAGAGTTCTGTAACATGGCTTCTCCATGTAAGCAATTGCTGTAGAGGGTTTACCTGCGCCGGTCGACAAAGGCTTCCTTGTCAACCGCAGCGCGTCCAGACTGCCCTGATCTGCCGATAAACAGCTGATCATCAGCTGGTCGGCAGAGCGCGGCAGCGATTTAAATTTAAATGAAGCCGCGATTATTTAAATCGCAGCTTCATTTCCCTTTGCCGATCAGCCTAATCTACATGGCTCCATCAACGGAGCCATGTAGTTTAGACACACCCTGTGTGTCTGTGTGCAGTGTCCAGCAGGGGATGGGTCTCTGAGGAGAGGCACATAGGAAATAGCCCAGCTGCCTGACGCCTGGGCTAGGTGGAGGAATCTGAACAAAGCAAGGGGTGTAGCCACCTGATGGCTAAGGGACCAGTTGCTGGGAGTGAGTTAGACTGGGAGTGGGAGTTAGTAGGATGAGGAGAGTAGACTGAGAGCAGGAAAGGGGGGTTCAGGGCCCATGAGTCCCTTTCCTCTGAGAGGAATAAGGCTGTCTGCCCTGTGTTAACATCGCTCCTATGCTACGCTGTATCTCTGAGAAGCAATAAAACCTTCTACTCTCCTCATCGTACCCAGCCGAGACTGCTTCACCCCCACAGCCACAGCTCACTCGCCCCAGGCAGCCCCCCCCCCATTGTCCTCTTTCTAGGTCCAAGGTGTTATCTGCTGCCACCTGGGACTCAGGTTGTGAGAGACTGCACATACATCATTCTCTTCTCCCCCCCTTTCCCTTCTTCCATTTATTTCAAGTTTTCTTATCCCCTCGTAGAAAACGTGCTCTGTTAATCCACTGCCTTGGAGCAGAAGGGCAGCATATATTTTACACTTTTCCCCTTGCAGATGATAAATGTGGGTATGTCTACACTACCCTCCTAGTTCGAACTAGGAGGGTAGTGTAGACATACCCTGAGAGAGTCACACACAGCAGCCCCTCCTAATGCAGCTAGTGCTGCAGGGCCTGGGTAAAGTGAGGCACTCACACACAGCTTCATTACAGAGCAGCGTAGGACAGTAGGATTAGATATAACCCTATAAGACAAATGGTGAATGCAACACCAGCGCGAACATAGGATTACAAAAGTAGACCTCACCCCCCGCCTACATCACAGAGCCAAACATAGGTCCCATCAAAGTGAATAGAAGCTTTGTTGGTTTCAGTATAAGCAAGATCATGTCCTAAATTCATAGCTTCTGGCAGACCCCTTAGTTCTAAGGGTTAGGAAAGGCAATGCTAAAAGCATAGATTGTTGAGCAGACTTGCTGAAAACAGAACATTTTTGTAAGGATATCCATGGGTCTTTAAACTAGCCTTATGTCATATGGGTCCAAAATATGCCAGCTCATCTGATGAAGCAGGTCTCGTGTGTGTGTGTGTGTGTGTGTGTGTGTGTCTCTCTCTCTAAGGGTACGTCTGGACTACCGCGTTTTGTCGACGGAAGTTTTGTCGACAGATACTGTCAACAAAACTTCCGTCGACAAAGAGCGTCCCGACACATTGAGTTCTGTCGACAAAGCAAGCTGCTTTGTCGACAGAACTCCGTAGTCTGGACGCAATGTTACAGGCAATAACACCTTCTGTCGACAGAGTTCTGTCGACAGAAGGTGTTATGCCTCGTAAAATGAGGTATACCAGCGTCGACAAAACTGCTGAGTTCTGTCGACGTTATGTCGACAGAACTCAGCGGTAGTGTAGACGCTGGGATAGTTTTGTCGACAAAAGTCCACTTTTGTTGACAAAACTAGGTAGTCTAGACACACCCTAAGGCTATGGTTACCCTACTGAGTTATTTCAGGATATCTCTGGTATCTCAAAATAGCTATTTCGTGTCTTAAGAGCAAGCCAATTATATTGAAATATAACGGGCTTGCTATTCTGGTGTACCTGTAAACCTCAATGCATGAGGGATAAGGGGCATTTTGTAATAGTGCTTTATTTCAAAATAAGATCAAAAGCATACTACAAATTGCGTAGCTTATTTTGAGGTAAGGGTGCTGTATAGTCACATCCCAAGATGCCACAATATTACTACTTCTTTTTAAAGTTACAGACTAATACATCTACTCCGCTGAGACTTTTGGGTGCAAAATAGTTAAATACAAGTTTTTCTGGCTCCACAAATGGGTAACTGGATGAAATGTAACAGGCTGTGATATGAAGGTATTCAGACTAAATGATCTATTGGTCCCTTTTAGCCTTAAATTCTATGAATTATGAAAAACAGCAAGATGGGCTACTGTGTGCAATTAATGTAAAGCGTTGTGTAAACAACAGGGGGCAATTCCATCCAGGCAGGTAGCGCCCAGGAGAGTCATTCCACTGACTTCAATTGGCTTTGGAGGAGGCCCATAGGGTTGAGTAATGAACAAAAAACCTTGGGGCTCTTGTATTTGTTTTCATTATCACATATAGAAGGGAGAATATACACAAGTGGTTTGACCCTGGTAGAGAAACCACTATTTTCTCTCTGTAGGTTGTTCCCCCAAAATGACGATATCGTGAATTTTGCTTCCTGGTTTGGATTTGCATTTCCTAATATGATTCTGATGTTGATTATATCTTGGTTGTGGCTCCAGTTATCATTCATGGGGTTCAAGTAAGTATACAAATAGTATGATGCTGGGCAGGTTCTGAGCAGGTGTCAATCAACTGTAACTCTGGCCCTCTTGGTTTGTCTTTCTATTGTTGGGTATAGTCCCTTCTGACCTTAAAGTCTATGGGTATGTCTACACTACAAAGATAATTCGAACTAACAGCCGTTAGTTCGAATTAACTTTGATAGGCGCTACACACGCGAACCGCTAGTTCGAACTTATTTGAACTAGCAGAGCGCTTAATTCGAACTAGGTAAACCTCATTCCACGAGGACTAATGCCTAGTTCGAATTAAGTAGTTCGAATTAAGGGCTGTGTAGCCACTTAATTCGAACTAGTGGGAGGCTAGCCCTCCCCAGCTTGCCCTGGTGGCCACTCTGGGCACCACCAGGGAAACTCGTCTGCCCCCCACCCGGCCCCGGAGCCCTTAAAGGGGCACAGTCTGGCTACGGTGCCTGTGCCAAGTGCAAGCCTGCCAGCACCCAGCCAGCAGACCCTGCACCTGGCCT